TCCCTACCCTTGAACAATCCTTTTAAAGGCAATGGGGAAAGAGGCTGATGCCAAGGACATAGAAGAGCAGCCATGTTCAAAGTAGGAGCATCACTTCCTAGCCATGAGCTGGATCCCATCTAAATTCTACAGATGCAAATACAACTTCCCTGCCTCCCCTCTCCCCTGCAGCCTGGAATACCTCCCCCCCCCTCAATATGGGGGACCTCCGAGGAGCAGCAGGAGGAGGGAGCTGAAGGGCAGTCACAGAGTGTGAAAAAGGCAAAAGTTCCCTCACCCCTTGTTCAACAAGATCTTTCCCACAGGATCCAGCCCCATGGATTCCTGGCAGAATTATTTGTGAGAAATAATTTGCCACTGGTTGCACTGGGAACCCCAATGGGCCTGATAAAGCCCCAAGTCTAGTGATGGCCTCATCGTAGATCCTTCTCACTACCCTTATTTCTCTTATTCTTGATTCCTGGCTAAATAGAGTCTCAATCCTTAATAGTCTGAGATGCCGAAAAACAAGAAGCGGGGTAGTAGGCAGCTATATCTCCATAAGGGAAGGCGTCCTGCGTCTCCCAACTAATGGCACGAGGAAAACAGTGGCTGCTTTGCAGGGTTTGCAAGGGAAGGGGGCAGCAGAGGAAACAGAAGCTGCCAGTGGTTCTTTAGGGGACTGGAGATGGGGAAGAAACTCTTACCATCCTCTATACCAGTCTATTTGTGTTCTCCCCCACTAATTCAGCACACAAGTGTGCTCGAACACATCTTTGATGAAGGGAGATGGGGAAGAAACTCTTACCATCCTCTATACCAGTCTAATTTAGCACACAAGTGTGCTCGAACACATCTGTGCCATCTTTGATGAAGCAATATTCAGGCCTCCCTGTTAAGTTCAGCTTCTTAATACGGAACTTCATCATCCCCTTCCTCACCCTCAGAGCCAAAGCCTACTTAATGTATGATACTGTGGCAATCTCTATCTCTAAAACAAGCCTTTTGTGGTATAAGCCCTAGTGTGTCTTCGTGAGAAAAAATAAATATAAGACAGTGTCTTATTTTCGGGGAAACACGGTATATGGACTGGCCCCTTCCCCATTTCCCCAAATCCTTTTGCATCACCTCTAGACCTTTACAGCACTCCTTGACCTTTGTCTTGTCCCCTCCCCCAATAAGATGCCCAAAGCGATGGGCAACAGTGAACAATGATTCATTGGTCAGTTAAACCTTTACAATCTGCAAGGAAACATCAGGTTGGGCTATCCAGAATTAGTCCTCCTCAAAAGGTAGTCTCTCAAGTAACCCTTTATGTTTTGTCCTCTGGGAGGGGCAAAGCTGCACTAGCTGCAGCTTCCGGATATGAGACCAAGTGGACATAGTGGATACCTTGCCACCATGCTTTACACTTTGGTCTGGGCTGAAGGTTCTTCTTGGTCTCATATTTCACTGTAAGCAGCTTCAACCTGCCATCTGCACCTGTTTCTTAGTGCTGAATACAGTTCTTACTTTTCCCAAGCAATCATACTTTCACCTGGACCACACAGATACCTTTCACAGATAGTTTGTAAGTTTTGATTTCCTCTGGCTTGTCCTTTGGATAGTTCTTGGTTTTTCTTGGTTGTTGAGTTGCCAAAACCATTATCTGAGGACCTAATTAGCTGAGGACCAGACAAGATGTCATGTTTCCCTTGCTTGAAAGCCTTGCTTGAAAGCCTGAACCTGTGTTCAGATCCCATGATGTGTAGTTTAGTTTTGACAAGCAGTCATGAAGGGGTTAATTTTGGTTGGAGTGTGTGGAACTGGAGAGGGTGGGATTCCCTTCCAGTGCCTTTCCCCTATGGACACTGGTGCTGCTGATCTCTGGCTACACAGCAGAGGGAGGAAGACAAGGAAAAGAGAAGGTGTTCATGTTTTTTACCCCACTGGAACAAATAGTAGTCCAGGGGCACTGGGTTCAATCATGGGGAAAGTGTATATGTACTGGGGGGGTGGGATTTAACCCTTCTTTCCACGGTATCATGATCCTGATACAAATTGGTGTATCCAGGGTGCCCATGACTGCTTACTCCTCCCTGTCTGCCTCTGTGGTTCTAGCCAAGGCCCCAGGGTCAGCAGAGGCTTCAGATGCAGAAAGGAGAGGGGGGTTAACTGCACCTCCTTCCTCCTCAAACAGTTTGGTGTAGTGGTTAAGTGCACGGACTCTAATCTGGGAGAACCGGGGGGAATATACGGGGAGAGGCGGTCCCTTAGGTAGGCCGGACCCTGGCCATTCAGGGCTTTAAAGGTAAGCACCAGCACTTTGAAACGAATCCGGTATGCTATAGGCAGCCAGTGCAGCGCATGCAGCACTGGTCGGATGTGGTCTCGCCTGGAGAGACCCATCAACAACCTCGCTGCAGCATTCTGCACTAGCTGCAGCTTCCGGATATGAGACCAAGTGGACATAGTGGATACCTTGCCACCATGCTTTACACTTTGGTCTGGGCTGAAGGTTCTTCTTGGTCTCATATTTCACTGTAAGCAGCTTCAACCTGCCATCTGCACCTGTTTCTTAGTGCTAAATACAGTTCTTTTCCCAAGCAATCATACTTTCACCTGGACCACACAGATACCTTTCACAGATAGTTTGTAAGTTTTGATTTCCTCTGGCTAGTCCTTTGGATAGTTCTTGGTTGTTCTTGGTTGTTGAATTGCTGAAACCATTATCTGAGGGCCTAATTAGCTGAGGACCAGACAAGATGTCATGTTGAAGACGTGTGTTCAGAACCCATGATGTGTAGTTTAGTTTTGACAAGCAGTCATGAAGGGGTTAATTTTGGTTGGGGTGTGTGGAACTGGAGAGGGTGGGATTTCGCTCTTCCCTTCCAGTGCCTTTCCCCTATCGACACTGGTGCTGCTGATCTCTGGCTACACAGCAGAGGGAGGAAGACAAGGAAAAGAGAAGGTGTTCATGTTTTTTACCCCACTGGAACAAATAGTAGTCCAGGGGCACTGGGTTCAATCATGGGGAAAGTGTATATGTACTGGGGGGGTGGGATTTAACCCTTCTTTCCACGGTATCATGATCCTGATACAAATTGGTGTATCCAGGGTGCCCATGACTGCTTACTCCTCCCTGTCTGCCTCTGTGGTTCTAGCCAAGGCCCCAGGGTCAGCAGAGGCTTCAGATGCAGAAAGGAGAGGGGGGTTAACTGCACCTCCTTCCTCCTCAAACAGTTTGGTGTAGTGGTTAAGTGTGTGGACTCTAATCTGGGAGAACCGGGTTTGATTCCCCACTCCTCCACTTGCAGCTGCTGGATGACCTTGGGCAAGCCATAGTTCTGTCAGAGCTATCCTTGAAAAGAGCAGTTTCTGTCAGAGCTCTCTCAGCCCCATCTACCTCACAGGGTTTCTGTTACGGGGAGGGGAAGGGAAAGGAGTTTGTAAGCTGCTCTGAGACTCTGAGTGAAGGGTCGGGTATAAATCCAATCTCTTCCACCTCCTCCTCCTCCTCCTTCCCAAGTCTCTCCTACACAGCCTGGAGCCTCCTTCCTGGCCTGAAGTTTATGGGCCAGCCTTGATTGTGCACATGTTCAGCAGCCCACTCTGACCCGTCACACCTGTTCCTAGTTTGCCTGACAGTCCATCTAGCCTGGTCCAGCCACGACTGCTTTTGCCACCTCCTTGAAGGGGCTGCTCAGGGATGCGGAGGAGCTATATGCCTCTCCTGGCCAGATAGTGCCGGCCTTCGTGCAGTGAGGGCAGCCATAACAGTGGTTGGCAGCCCGGAGGTCAGGGCTGGGGCCATGACCACCTGCTGCAGTCTGGGCATGTCCAGGAGAAGCGGTGCTTCTAGTTCTGCCCTGCCATTGGTGCATAACTGCTGTCCTTCAACTCACTTGGAAGACCTGGGTTCTTGGCACCAGGTCTTTCGGGTTCTTCACAAGCTGCTTGCGTTAGCAACGTTTACAGACCCAGGACTGCCCTGCGTCACTGCCATTGAGTGTTAGTAATGCATTCAGAGGGGCTTCAAATATGGCCCTCTGTTTTAACTACTAGGTATGAAAGTAACAGCATTCCGTGCGCCTTGGAAGATTTTGGATTTTTTATAATTAATTTTTAGTCCCGCAACCTGTCCATAATTTTGTATGGTCTTCATTAGTTCCTCTATAGAGTCTTCCGGGTTCCCCAATATGAACACCAGGTTGAACCTTTACCTTTTTTTTATGAAAGCACTGCCCTGACCTGGACAGGCCCAGCTAACCAGATCTTGGAAGCTAAGCAGAGTTGGCCCTGGCTAGTATTTAGCTGGGAGACCTCCAGGGAATACAAAGGTTATGACATGAAGGCTGGGAACGTTAAACCGTCTCTGAATGTCTCTTGCCTTTGAAAACCCCACCCCCAGTGTCACCATAAATCAGCTATGACTTGATGAGGGCAGGGGGAATGAAAGCACTGCTGCCTGTCATTCCAATAAACTGCATATATGGTTTTCTAACTAAGAACAAGAATCTGCTTCCGTTCATAGCAGAAAAGAAGAGGGAGATGATGGCTGCGGGACCTGTTTCCTCCCCATGAGTGGCTAGTCTCCGGGTTGTGAGGAGACTATCCGTCTGCATAAAAATGTCCTAGCTGTGACTTTCTCCTGTGTTTTAGGAGGGGGGTCTGCACTTTTGCCTGCACCTGTCCCACCAGTCACCCTTGAAGAAAAGGAGACTGTTACCAAGCTCCTGGCTTCCAAGGGAGCCACCATTCAAGAGCTTAACACCATTCGGAAAGCACTGTCTTTGTTGAAAGGCGGGGGGCTGGCACGGACTGCCTTTCCAGCACAGGTGGGTGTGAATGTTTAACCAGGAATTCTGTGTATGTTTGAAAGGGACACTGTTTCTGTCTTCAGCTCGGTTGGGGGGGGGTAGAAATAGATGGTGGTGGGCGCAGGAGGGCTGGGCGCTTTCAGTCCTTATCCGTGTCAGCGACTGCAAAACAGAAAGATGGTGGGATGCGTCAGGGGCATTCAAGCATTACTGACCTAAAAGACCGGCTGACCGCTATGCAGCTCTGCCATCAGGTTTTCCACCTCCCGGTTGCAGCAGGTGCACTGTGTACAGCGCGTGCCAAGGAGAGCCAAAACGGCGCATCCAGAATGAAATGATGCAAAACAAGAAAGACAGAGTGTTATTCTGATGGCCGGTCTTTACAGAATTCGGTTACTTTTTGTGTGTGTGTGCTTTTGCAAGGACAGAAATACAAGAGAGCTTGGATCACATAGGGCAAAGGTAGGCATAGGGCAAGGTAGGCATTAGGGAGCCATGCAGAGTGCAGAAGCATGACGGTCTGTAAATCTGCAGGAGCCAACTCTTTTCCTCTGAACCTCGTAGTAGACATTTTTGCCTGTTTTCAAACTACTACTGCATAACTATGAGGGCTCAGAAGTCACATTTTCAAAAATCAAAAGCAATAGAATCCAGTCTGTTAACTGAACCCACAGCTTTAGCAGAGGAGCCGAAACTCAGTGCTTTAAAATCCCAAAATTATGCAATCAAAAAAATCCCAATGTATGCAGCAGGAACAAATTACGTAAATTGAGTGTATATGGAAAGTTACTTAATTCATATTTTCCACAGTTTGCAGTTGCATCATGATGGATGTGTATATGTATATGTTTGTGAATGTGTATAATTGTAATTCTTTTGAATTGCTTTTTCATAACTCTGCACTTAAAATTTAGCAAGTCAAAAAGAAAGGAACCCTTCAATCGTGGACTGAGAAAAAAGAGCAGTTTCTCACCAGAAAATAAGGAGTGGGAACCAGTTCTGTCAGAGTAGCCGCAAAGGGGCTTGAAAGGGTGTCCACACTCTATATGGAAGCCATGGTGGCTGGGTGTGCACCAGTGTTTCCCACAGCAGACACACAGCCAAAGGCCCACATGGCACATGGGTTGCTTTAAATACCTGTGTACCTACCCCTACCCTACTGGAAATGCTGATTGAGAACCTTTTCATATACTTAGAACATACCCCCCTTGCTTTCAAATGATTCTGTTCATGCTGATTCACATTTGCATATACATCACTCGCAGCATGATCCTGAGCATTTCCCCCCTAGAAGTCAATCCCACAGCGTTCAAATTGACTTGCTTCCTAGTAATGCTGATTAGGATTACAGCGTCCTCCATCATTCTCAGCTGAAAATGCTTCCTCCATTGAATCCATGTCGTTTCTGAGCTGATGGGGAAAGTACACTCTGGTGTTTGATCTGTAATGGCTTTTCCACAACACAACTCATCACTTGATTGGGTGATCAACACACAGAGGAGAGCTTGCCCTCAGTCATAATTAAGGCCCAGATTCCAGACAGGCACTGGGTGCGGTCAGACGGGCCATTTGAGCCAGTATACATGCTGGTTAGAAACTGACTATTTATGCGTGATCACACGGTCAACATCTGCCTCCCGTCCCCAGCCGCTGCTTTCTGGTGCAAACCCCCTTTAAAATGGAGTATTTTGATACCAGGTCCCCAAGTGGTGTTTTCCTGCTTCTCCGGTTCCAGCCGCATTTTTCCCCGTGTGATCGCTCTTGTGGTGTCGAGCTACTTCCGAGTGCCTCAACCCCCTCCCATCTGGAAAGCTGCCGGGGAAGCCCGGGGCTTCCGCTTTTCATCCTCCCATTTTTTATGGCCCCCCGTAGGGGATTTTTTATTTGCATTTACTAAAAACTACAACGAAATTGGGGAGGGAATCTACACACTCTAGGAGAAAGAAAAGAAAACCCACTAAAAACCCAAGGGTTGGAGGTCACATACAGCTTGTAAAAATTTTGCTTAACAATAATAAAAAGCTTTCTTTAACATTGAGAGTGATCAATCATCATCATAGCTTGTAAAAACATCCCAACAAATCTGACTATATGAAATAGGAGAATCACTATTTAACTTAGACACAAATTACAGAGAACAATGGCATCTCATTTAACCATTATTTTTCCCTCCACCATTAAAAGCAAATTAACAATAAGTCTCTCTCAGTAGATATTACACAATCTCATTTTCTCTTCCATTGTTGTTTTCCTCTTTCTTCTTCCCTGTGGCACCATCTTGCTGTTATCAGGAACTGGCCATCTCAAAACAAAGTCCCTTCTCCTTTTTCCAGGACTGTTCCGCTTAAATTCTTGCCTTCAATCATAGGGGTCGTTCCAATTTGCTTTTCACTGCCCGACTTGAAGAGTCTCGTCACCTTATTGCCCAGCAGACTTAATCAGGATATAACCATGGAGGATACTCCTTCGCTTTAAGCCTCGCTTATGGTCTGCATACAGGCCCTTCAAATTGCAAATGCCCATTTGACTCTCCTCTTCAATCCTGGAAGCCCCTATGATAATTGGTTAGACGCTTCTCCAATATTAACACAGTACTTTTAAAAGCAACAGC